TTCATCTCAGGGTTCGACTGCGAAGTCTTGCTTCTAAGTTTACTCACGTGGCCGTTGGCCGGAGATGTCTGTTCCTGGCCATGTGGGTCTTTTCATAGGGCCACTTACAACATGGCCGTGGAATTCTCTTCAGTTCTCTTGCAGGCTCTGAGAAAGAGGCTAAGACAGCAGAAGTCGCATTTTTGGTAACCTAATCTTAGAAGTGACTGACATTACCAAATCCAGTCCGTAGTCCAGGGAAGAAAATACCATGCGAAACCAGGAGGTGGGCATTCTTGGAAGCCATCTTGGAGGGCTACCCAGCACAACCTTCCGCCTGCGGGAGTTGCAAACAAATGGGGTTCCAGCGTTTCTCACCAACGTGCAACTAGGGTGGCTGGACTTCACAAATCTGTTTCATTTTTTGCTTTCTGATAAATATTCCCATTGACCAAAGTGTCCCTGTGGAAAGATGTATAAAACTGCTGGTTTGGAGGACTAAATTTAAACTTTGCATGGCTTTTTATGATCTGGCCCAGGCCTACTAATTCTCTTTGTTTGCTCTTTCAGGGATGTTACGTTCAGGCACAACAGACCTACAGAAGCAGCTCTTCGCCTTCCTTGTCACCATGCACCCTGTCCCCTCTCCCATAGAACCCCACCCCGGCTTATCTGCATTACCAGTGCGATCCCTTCTGTGAAATGTTTTTGATGGTTCCAGGCAGACATGTGTTTCTCCCTTATTCTCCTACGTGCTTTGTTTAAACCCTTTAATCAAAGCAATTACCTTTTATACTTTCGTGGCTGCTTCACATCACCCCTCTAAATTATCTCCAGCATCCAGCCCAGGGCCTGGCTGGACACAGAAGCCACTCAGTAGCTATTTACGGAGTAAGTGAGCCCAGCATTGTAAGCTGGACACTGCCTGCGTGCAAGTGGTCCTGGGTGTGGACAAAGTGCTGACCACAGACCAGCATCTTCGGGCTTGCAGGTGGTCTCTCAGCTGCCTCATTTATAATCCATGAGTCAGTCATTGTATTCTAGATTGTTCTTCACTGTCATTTTAGCCTTTAGCTGCTCACTGAAATGAGCTAATTACAGCTGAATTGTTTTAATTGCTAATTATCAAGAAAAAAGATTAAAAAAAAAATGCAAGTGCCAGGACGTGCTGTTACCTACCATTAAAAGAAGCTAGAGTGTTCTTGTTTGAAAATTATGAGAGGGCCATTGCTTCCAGAAGTAGGTGGGGACTGGTGGAGCGTAAAGAACGGGTTGTGTGGAGCACAAAATCGACCCAGATCCTACTTCTATTAGTGTCGCCTCTCATCACGCTGGAGAAGTTCAGTGGTCATTGGTGCAGACGAGCACAGACACGGAGGTGTTTGCTGATGCCCACCAGGGGCCAGGTTGCTCAGCAGGTTGATGACTGGCCTTTGCGCCCTCTCATTTTATGTTCAAAACCTTCCCTGGAGGTTTATTTTTCCACTAAACTTTCCCATAGATTAAAAAATACTTCTCCGGTTGATGAAACAAATTGGCACAAAGCTGCCGTGTTCCTTTCAAAGGGCAGCTGAGGGATAGAATGGTGATTAAAAAAAAAATTGTATTAAGGAAAGCCACAAATATCAACCACTTCTGCCTCTTTAAAAATACGGGCAAATGCTATTTTGGACTGGCTCAGGCTCCATCTGTTTTGGTTTTGCCTCTGATGGTGACACAACGGTATATTCTGTAGAAAAGCTGCCTTTCATGGTGCAACACCAGGAGGTTAAGGAAAGACGATGGCGATTTCTCTGTCATGAGTCTGTAATTCTTACGATGTCTAAAATACCTCTTTGAATCTGCAGTTGTTGCAACTGAAGTCACCTAGAGAGAGAAGGCATTCACTAAGATTATAAGCCAGTTTTGAAAGTTAGGCTTCTTTTTAATTCAAAGACTTCAAAGGCAGCTCCTAGCTTTGCAGGTCTAAGATTTGAAAAACAGGTGTTTTTTCCTTTCACACTACTTGTGAACTCTTTGTCATACGTCTTTCATGTGTCCATTCAGAAGAACGTGCTGCGTGTCTCCTGTGTACCCACACAACACCAGGCAGTGGGAACACACAGTTCCCTCTCGCTCCTCGAGGCACCAAGCGGTAGGCACACAAGTCGTTCAGCTCAGAAGAGAAAGTGCACTAAGGAAAGGCTCCACGTAGCATTTGAGCCAGAACTTGCAGGAAAGGCAAAAGCCCCCATGCCGGAAGGGGACTGGGCAATTCACAGCAAAGAGGATGAGGGAAGGCGCAGAGGGAGGCAGGACAGCACATTTCAAAACAAGAATCCAAGGGGACCAGCAGTTAGCATAATGGCTACGTCACTGGATTCCCATGTAGTTGACCGCGGTTCGCGTCCTGGACCTGGTGGCTTAAAACTCACGCCAGGCGCATGTGCGTGTGTGCCCAAGATCCTGAGAGGAGAACAGAGGAGAAGAGGTTGCGGTGTGGCCATCCCCCCTGGGGGGTGATTTCTTGCTTTCTGTCTCTCTGTCTCTCTCTGTCTGTCTGGCGAGCACACGCGCCCTATAGCAAAAACATCTCAAAAAAAAAAAAAAAAGAATCCAGGGAAAGTTTTAAAAAGAAACAAGGAAAAAGAGAAAGAATGAAGAGAAGGAGGGAGGAAGGAAAGAAGGAAGAAAGAGGAAATAGTAAGAATGATCATTGTAGTGGTTATGTTGCCAGATTCTCACATGACTGACTGCAGTTCAAGTCCTGGACCTAGTGGCTTGAAAATCACACCAGGTGCATGTACGTGGATGCTCAAGATCCTAGGAGGATAATAGAGGAGACGGGACTGTGGCATAAAACATCTCAAAAAAAAAAAAAAAAGAATCCAGGGAAAGTCCAGATTTGGAGGCATAGCAGTAATAACTAGAGAAAAGGATGGAGGGATTTGAACACCCTACAAGAGAGACCCTTTTTCCTCCAGTAGGCAATGAGAAGCATCAAAAGATTATTTATTGGGACCAGTAGTTAGCGTAATGGCTATGTCGTGGAACTCCCATGTAGCTGAACGCAGTTCAAGTCCCAGACCCGGTGGCTTAAACTCATGCTGGGGATGTGTGTGTGTGTCCAAGATCCTGAGAGGAAAATGGAGGAGAAGGGATTGCGGCATGACCAACCGCCTGGGAGGTGATTTCTCGCTTTCTATCTCTCTGTCTCTCTGTCTTTCTGGCAAGTGCACACGCCCTATAGCACAAAAAAAAAAAAAAACAAAAAAAAAAAAAAAAAAAATTTATTGTTTTTTGTTTTGTTTGCCATAGGGCACATGCACTCACTGGAAAGAGAGACAAAGAGACAGAGAGAAAGGGAGAAATCACCTCCCTCCCCCCCCAGTGAGGATGGTGGTGCCACAGTCCCTTCTTTGTTCTCCTTGGGATTTGGGGCACGCACGCACACGTGCTTGGCGTGTTTTCCAAGCCACCAGTTCAGAACTCAAAGTGCTCACTTGGCCATGTGGGATCCAGCCACCTTAACTTCCACACTACTGGCTAATCCTCAAAGGTTATTAAGTCCATGTGTGATATGATCAGATTTATGTTGTCGAGAATGTTCTTCTCGGCATCATGAAGAAAGGATTGGGGCAAAGAGAGTCTGTAAATATGGAGGGCACTTGGCTTGGAGGTGCTGGCTAATAGTTGGTTTTTATTTATTTATTTTTTTGAGAGGTTTTTGCTATAGGGCTTGTATGCTCGCCAGAGAGCCAGAGAGCCAGAGAGCCAGAGAGCGAGAAATCACCCCCCACCCACTGGGGATGGCCATGCCGCAATCTCCTCTCCTCCACTCTCCTCTTGGGATCTTGGGCACACATGCACATGTGCCCGGCGTGAGTTTTAAGCCGCCAGGTCTGGGACTCGAACCATGGTTGGCTACATGGGAGTCCAGCGACATACCCATTATGCTAACTGTTGGTCCCCTGGCTAATAGTTATTGAGCATGTGCAATACGCCAGACACAGGGTTCAGCTCTGGACATATATGTCGAGTTTAATGTTCACAGCTAGTGTATGGAGTAGAGATTATAATTCTCATTTACGAGATGAGTTTAAATAACTCATCCAAGATCACTCAGCGAGCAGTAGTTGGGCTGAATTTGGACTCTATTCTGCCTGATTCTGAAGCTGTTGCTCTTTCCTCCAGATAGGAGGATGAGGGCCTGAACGATGCCAGTGGCGATGCTGAAGAGGCGTCCTCCTTCCCCACAGAAGACTCCTAATTTAGTTTCTTCTCATTTGGAAGCTTCTCCATCCACTTCATCATTCTAATTGCTTTAATATGACAAATTGACCAATTTCTAGCAGGTTATTTATAACCATGGTGGAATTAGTTGCTTGGTTCAATCAAGCAACCAAAAAGTAACTGATTTGTAATGACTCGATTTATCAAAGTGTTCAGGATGGTTGGTGTGCATGGGTATAACTTACATTAGACAAAAGAGTGAAATACAATAGAAAGGGAATAGCTGACTATTCACAAATGACACCCAAACCACAAGGCTTCCCACCCTAGCTCCATAGTCAAGTGCGCAATTTGTAGTTTTGAGTACTAAAAGTGTTCTGAGAGACTTTCTACTTCTTTGATTTGATTTTGTTATTGTAGATGAAGATAAGCTCAGAAAGCGTAAGGGGTATGTAAAGGTCTTCCAGCCAGAAAATGACAGAGCTTGGACTTGAACTATTTGCACTGTTCTGGTGCCACGTCCTAGAGAACTTTTCCTACCATGCCTGCTGTTCTATGACACAGAGCAAGCCACTCAGCTTCTCGAATTCTCAGCGTCTTTGTCTACAATGTAAGAGGATGGGTGGATGTATTAGCTAGCTCTTGCTCTGTAAGAAACCATTCATGGGACCAGAAGGTGGCGCAGTGGTAAAATGTGAGGCTTTATAAGGGAATACCACGTGGGAAGGTTCCCAGTTCAAGCCTGGAGACCTCCTTGAATAAGCTGGACTTGCCCATGAGCAGGAGCTATCTGAAGGCTGGGGGTATGGATGGGTGTGAAGACCCTGTCGAGGGTGCCACTTCTCTTATTCATGACGTAAGTAAAGAAATAAATTAAAAAAACAAAAACGAGAACCCACTCCATACTTGGTAGCATGAAACAACAACCATTTTCTGTAGAAAGTGATTCTGTGGCAGGTCCTATGGTTTTTCCAGTCCAGACCAGCTCAGCAGATCTCCACCTAATTCTCTCCTGCCTAGCATGATCTGCTGCAGCGTAGCCTCATTCCTAGTTCTGGTGGTGGTAGACCCCTGGCTGGGATCGGCTGCATTGTGGCACTTCCATTCTCCTCTACAGGGCTTTTCACCCCTCAGCAGCCTTGCTCAGACTTGGACACATGGTGGCCTCAGGATTTCAAGCATGGAACGAAAGGGAAAACCCCAATGAGCATACTCTTTGCAAATCTTTACTCTGCCATCTTTCTCAATCCTCCCGTTGTCCCTAACATGCCACAGGGTGCAGTACAAAGCTTCTGGAATGTCTCCCAATGATCCCCATCTTCTGGCATTCC